TATTAGATAAACAGTTAGATTTTTATCAAATACTAAAGAAAAAGGGAATGATTAAGTATACTTGGATTATGTTGTTGAAGCAATGAATAAGAGGAGAAGCACTATTTTAGACTTCTTCTTCTTCTTAGGCCCCTTCTTCACCACCTTTTAAAGGGCCCTCATAGTGGTGTGTTACGTGTTCGTTTTGAATCTCTTCGGGCTATGATCTCTCTGCCATTCTCGTGATATGATGATTCCATTCTCGTCCCCACTATCTTTCTCACTGAACTATATCTTGTATGTAACAGAGATTCCTTATTTAGTTTTCTCAGTTCAATGTTCTCATTTCTGATGTTCTTAATTTTCTCTTGATTTCTGCTATCGGTCTTATGGTCGATTTTATATACGTTCTTTCCTTTTAGACTCATGTCTTTATTTCCTCAGGAATTTGATCTCAATACTTAATACTCTTTTGGAGCTATTTTCTTGTGGCATCTTGATGCAATTACTATTTTCGTTGGAAATAAGCCATAATATAAGTTTAAAATAAGTTTATTATTGACGATTCGATTTCCACTTTGAAATCCTCATTAATTGTTAACGAAAATGCTGATATTTCTCATTGTCAAGGTAATTCAATGTTAGTTCTATAATATTTACTACTTTAAAAATTGTTTAAAACAAAAAACAAATTCAAACACATTTGCTTTTTTTCTTATACAACAGGGAGTATATAGGCCATAACGCCTATAACGCCCCTATAATGCCCTAGGAGCTAACAAGTGTGTTTATGGTAAGCGTATAATGGGTAAAATAATATACAGGGAGGACTTGCACTTGCACAATATACTGCAATATACAGGGAGGACTTGCACGTAAATCTTACGATATAAATTTGATACTTCAAAGTAATAATGTGAATGTTTTATGCCTTAGTGAACACTGGTTGAAAGAAGATAAACTTAAAGTAACTAATATTGAAAACTTTAATTTAGTGTATTATTTCACAAGAAATAATAAAGAAAGTGGAGGTGTATGCATATTTGTAAATAATAAGTTTAGTTGTGAACAGCTAAATTTACGTCAATGGTGTATTGAAAGCAAAGTTGAAATATGCGGATTAAAATTTAAAGTTCATGGAAGTAAAAAATATTTATTTATTGTAACTATATACAGACCTCCTTATAGTGTGAATTTTAATACCTTTATTACGAAGTTAGAACTATTGTTGCAGAGTATTTATAACAATAATGATTTTTACGTTATATGTGGAGATTTCAATATCAATTTTTTAGAAAATATTAATCAGAAAAATATTTTAATAAACGTATTTTTAGAATACAACATTAAATATCACATAAATGTAGCTACTAGAATTACTAAAAATTCTTCAACGTGTATTGCCAACTTTTGTTCCAATTTAGATGTTTAAAAGGTGAGTGTATGTGGCACATTTCTATCAGATCATACTTATCAATTATGTGCTTTTAATATGAAAGTTACTGGAAAAAATCCTCAAACTGTTTTTACCAGAAACTTATGCGATGCCAACTTAATAACTTTTTAAAATATTTTAGCTAATATTGATTGGAGTGATCTATATGTGGCTAGTACCTAGTTTTAAAGAAAAATTTTCAATATTTTATGATACTTATTATTATTTATGATACTTATTCTTATATTATTCTAATACTACTTTCTTAAAACGTAGACTAACTGCCAGACCAAAACAAAAAACGTGGTGTTCCTCATATTAAAGGTTTGCATAATCAATTGTGTCAGATGAATGGATTAAGAAAACAACTCAATATCCCACAGTATTCGAAACGATACAAGAAATTTAAACAAGAATATCAAACAATTGTTAAAAAGCATAAAAATGAACAATATGATAATCAATTTAGAAATAGCAATAATGTAATGAAGGAAAGTTGGAAAATAATTAGTAAAAATAGAGGTAAGAACTGTCAATCAAATCAAAACTTACTATCTTTTAGTAACAACGGTGACTTACAAAATTATCTGATCTATCTATTATCTATCTATTAAGCTGATCAAATCAATAATTATTTTATTAATGATGTAAAAAATAATTCATAAATTTATTTTTATCACCAACCACTGAAAAAGAAGTTATATTTATTGAATTAAAAACTTCTCCTAAAACAGCTGCAGGGGTAGACAAAATTGATTGTTGGTTGTTTACTTATATGCTAAAATCTTTTTTATTTGTAGTGAACTGATGATGCTTTTAAAAAGGAAAGCGAAACGTATTCAAATAAATCAATAAAGTAGTTGACGACTTTTATTTGCCAATTATTGACCGATTAAACTTCTGCTATTCAACCATTGAATATATTTTAAATATATATATATATATATATATATATATATATATATATATATATATATATATATATATATATATATATATATATATATAATTTGACAATACCAATGACAAAAATTTCATGACCATATAAATTTGCTTGTACTATAATTGTTGATACAGAACACTCACTTCTTATCAAAAAAAAAAAATTAAAACTGATAGCAATACGTGTTTTAGAACGTTTTTTATAAGGGACAAAAAAAATCGACATTTTAATGTTTTGTTTATTTTTAATTTTAGTCACCTTATACCATTCTTGATTAATAGGCAAGTTAAAGATATTGTCTTTTGTCATGCAACAACATTTAACGTTGGACGAGATGAGTAGAGCCGTGAGCCTCCTTTAAGCTGGTATGCGACAAACTCAAGCTGCTAACCAGCTGGGTGTCTCCCAAAGCGTTGTAAGTCGTTTGTGGCGTCGGTTTAGAGACACTGGAAGTCCAGCCGAGCAACATCCAGGCCGTGGTCGCTCTACAACCGTCGCTCAAGACCGATATTTAATTTTAAATGTCAGAAGACAGCCAACAATCACAGCACCCGAGCTGGTTAATGAATTACAGCTTGCACATAAAGTAACAATTAGTAGCAGTACTGTGAGAAATCGTCTCCATGAAGCCAATCTTCGTAGTCGGCGACCACTGAGATGTCCACCTCTATCTAGAGGCAATCGCGCTGCAAGATTAACATGGTGTCAAGAGTTTCAGAATGGAACTGACAATGACTGGGCCACAGTTTTGTTTAGTGACGAGTCTAGATATGGATTTCTTCCAAATTGTCGTCGGATACGAGTTTGGAGACGACTCTGAAATGGAGAACGATTACGACATCTTCAAGAAGTATATGCATACAGAGGTGTTACATAAATAATATGGGGCGAAATCATGATTGACGGAAGAACTGACCTCATTTTCCCACGTGGCTTTCTCACAAGTCAGCAATATTTGGACACTGTTCTTGAACCTGTTGTGCGCCCAATTGCTGCTGCTGTTAAAGAACATTTTTACTTTATGCATAATAACGCTCGACCACATGTTGCGCATATTGTAACAAACTGGTTGGATAACGAGGGTATTGATGTATTGCCATGGTAAGCACAATCACCGGACTTGAATCCCATTGAGCATATATGGGACATGCTCCATCGAAGAATTACTCCACATATGGACAGTATCTACAATGAGTTTCAATTAAAAGAGCTTCTGAAAAAACAATGAACACAACTACCTCAAGCAGACATTAATAATGTGATTCGGAGCATGAACAGTAGATGTAGAGCTGTGATAAACCAACGTGGTGAATATACTTTATTTTAAGTTTATAGTTTGTATTTTTGACATTTTATGGTGGTATGTGTAACATGCTTGATTTGCAATATATTTTTTTTGTTCCAATTTTTTGTTTTTTTTTTTGCAATTTATGGTTTTTGATATATGAAACCACAATTTAAACTACAAATTTTGTATTACTTTTTTTTAAGTTTATTACAGATAAAGAAAATACATCGATTTATAAAAATATCCCTAGACTTTTGCGTTGTGTATATATATATATATATATATATATATATATATATATATATATATATATAATATATATATATATATATATATATATATATATATATATATATATATATGTATATATATATATAATATATATATATATATATATATATATATATATATAATATAATATATATATATATATATATATATATATATATATATATATATATATATATATAGCTTTATTGCCGATGAACAGGTAAAAGTGAGTTACAATCTATATCTACCAACTATATAAACTGTGTAAGAATTTTGATATCCATATATCGACAAAAAGACGAAAGTTATGGCACTTAAAGGTACCTACATAAAAAGAAAAATAGTACTTGACGATCAGCCAACTAGAACAAGTGATTAATTTCAATTACCTTTTTAACACAAGTTTCGAGAAAGAGAGATACATTGATCACAAAATTGACAGGTTTAAATTTATATATGGGACAATTCACATGACATCGAACTTGTCTGTAAACAGACAAGGAAAAAACCATACAATGACAAAACTTTATAAGACAGTGGCCACACATATTCCTTATAAGGATGTGAAAGCTAGGCAATGGCGTAAAGAGATATATCTAGATTATAAGCCATCGAAATGAGATTTCTCCGAAGAGTGAGAGGCATTACAAGACTTGATTGAGAGAGGTGAAAGACATAGGTACAAATTACTTGTCTACTAGAATAATGAGAATATAAAAGAAAACAGAATAAAATGTTAATAACATTTAAACTGAACGAATGGGTACCGTTAACTAAACAAACGCTAAATAATAAACATAATCCGAAAGAAAGAATAAGTGTAGCTCGCCGCTCAAAAGGTGGAGCGAATTTTAATGCAGAATGGTCAATAAATAACTAACCTCTGGAAAAAAAGAAGAAAAAGAAGGATATTTATTAACCAAAACCATTAAGATAAATATTTATAATCCTTAATTTTTAAAATAATAACTAACAGTTGTTTTGAGCATTCAATAAATAAAGCGCAGGCAATAAAAAAAAATGAATAATTATAATTGGATTTAGTCAGAAATGATTAATTTTAATAATAACTTTTAAAAACTTACCTGTAAGAACAGCTATCAATTGGGGAAGCGTTCCTTGGAACATTTGCACTAACGATTTCTCGCGCATACTGCTGTTTCTAATTGACGTCAAAGCAACCGAAATATATCTAAGCTTCTAACTTGATTATTTTTAGGACTTCACGAAGTTCACTGTTACCGAATAATGACTTTGTAATTATTGCACTTGTAACCAACTGTTTGATAATGCCACTTTTGTGTGAGTAATGTAAATTCTTTATAGTAAGGCCATGTTTGGAGTATAGGATATTTAAAATTTGATTTATTTGCTTTGGTCTTCAATGGTCACCACCATACTGAAAAATAAAAAAATATATTTAATTCACTATATGGAAATTAATTACAAACTGCCAAAAATTGGAGGAATACATTTTTAGGAGGAAAAATTTACGAATAAATTAAGATAAAGATATAAAGTATTATGAATGCTAATGTAAAATGGTATTATAAATACAGGATAAACCATAAATATTGACTCTCATTTAACTTCCAGATGGTTTATACACAGAGCGAGTTTTAAGTGTGTTAGATTTTTTACACGCATGGATTATTGCTGGTTCCAGTAGCAACGCCAGACCTGTTTGATCGGCAGTGAAGGTTTTGACTAGATTTCAGAACAGAATATTTTAGCACGCCAGTCTAAGTTTTAAGTTTGCACTAGGGATGGCGGTTTTTGACAAAACACCGGTTTTCGGTTATACTGTTTGTTTTTTGCTTACGGTTTAAGCAAGAGGCACATATGTTTAGAAGAAAGAATACCAGCACGATGACAGGAAAACCTAATAGTGCCCATCCACAAAAAAGGGGACAAAACAAAATGCGCGAATGATAGAGGAATCTCACTTCTAAACACAGCATATAAAACCCTCTTAAAGACCTGTGCAATTGGTATGGAAGGAGATTCCCACAGGCAAAAGATCACTTGGACGTCCCAGAATGCGATGGAGAGATAACATCCAAGCAGATCTACGGAAATAAACAGTCCATTTGACCCTAGGTTGATGGAAGACCGAACAAACTGGAAAAAAGTTGTACAGTCAGCCAAGACCCACCCAGGGTTGTAGCGCTACGTAATGATGATGATGATGATGATTTAACCTGGCGGTTATAACCGGCCAAAAAAAACGGTTTTCGTTTTTTTAAGCCAATAGGTTACAAAGTTACATTTACAATGCACTTTAGTTTGCGATAATTATTTATAAAATAAAATAAAATTTGAATTATGGTTTTGTTTGGAATAATTACTTTAGAATAATAATTATAATTGGGATCCAAAATAATACCTAACCTAACCTAACCTAATCCTAATAACCGTAAAAACCTAATAACCGGTTTTTACTTTAAAAATAAAATACCGGTTACAACCAGGACAAAAATAAACAACCAAAAACCGGTTATTACGAAGTAAAATAACCGGTTTTAGGTTATTATATATAAGCCGGTAGGTTTTTCCCATTTCTACTTTGCACAGTTTTTCAATTCTTACTTGTCGTCGTTTACACAATAATAGTAATATGCCAATCAAGGAAATAAAATTTGGAGTCCGTGTAGAGTGTCGTTTGTTCTGAGATCTCCATTTTTTACCTGTGAACACCACATTTTAAGTGATATGCGCTAAAAGAGTTTAACTACAAATTTAAAAATATAATATTTTAAAATATTATCTATATAATAAATCCACATTTAGAATCACAAGAGAAAGAAAACTTCCGTCGCTTTATTGATCTGACAATTCCACTGTCCCTAGGGTATTGACTAAAAGCCAACCCCTTCTGCTAGAGTATCGGTCTTAAAGTATTGATTTGAGGCAGACCTATTCTCTCCTGTGACCAAGTACTGATTGGTCACCGTCCGTTCCTCGCCGGGTTCAGCGTTGATTGGCCTATTCTATCTTTCTTCCTCCGACCCATTTCTTCCCGTCTGTGTATTATCTCTATTAAATTGCCGTTTGGGTTTTATGTCATTAATTATATTTTCTTTTTCGCAGATATTAAACAGCGGATCATATCGCCACAGATGCTGTCGCCGTCAGGATTGCCATTTAAATTGTTGTTATATAAATATATTACTTAGGATCTAATTTTATTTTGTTATTTATTTATTTCCAAAATATTTCTATTTAATTTAAACCTGTATTTTACTGAGTATTCTGTCTAAAAGAGCTACCCGCCACAAGATATGTATTAAATAACCTTTATGTGGAAAATATTAACGTAAGATATAATTATCTAATAAGAAAAACTCAAAAATGTGCTTATTTGAGCAAAATCCATAAAAATATTGACATAGGATCAAATCTGAAGAAAACCTAAAAACAGTCAAGTTCTAGATGAGATATCCAGAAGACTTACCGTGAGTGACTAATCAACCATAATATGAATCAATCAGTCTGTCATCACGAAAACACCAACAATGAATAGAATACAGCGCTGACAAAAACATTGTAAAAAAAGTCAATAGTCTGATCGATACAGAAAACCTACATGTTGTCAATATAATACGTATAAGGAGACAATTTGGAAGATTTGAAATATAATTCACATGTCAATAATAATAAAAATCAAATGGTATATACCATTATGTGGTATATACCATTATATATAAAATCAATATGGTATATATAATGGTATGATAATAAACACTTGTGTAAGTGAGAACTTTAAATGTATGTCTTATTTAGAAAAAACATCATAATTATAAGAAAATTAGTTTTTCCAATAATAATCCAGACTTGTAAGATTACCTTAGTAGAATCTGTCTACATGTTGCGACACGAAAAAGAAATTAATTTTTCTATTAAAAAAATGGAACTCTAGTCAGATGACACAGTCCTGTGGACTTCTCTGGACTGTGTCATCTATCGTATTACAACAAGTTATTAATAAAATAAGTAACCAAAGCACCGCCAATAAATGTACTGACTAAGAGATGTTCATAACCATAATGGAAAGTACGATTAGCTTGAAAGTAAAACTTTAAACCAGAAACAATCTCAAGCAAATCTAATAAAACAAATTTAAGTAGCGGCATACACTCTAAAGAAAGCCAGTACATAAAGTTAACTATGCTTTCGAACTCAGGGTTATGATAAAATAATGATTAAAAGCAAAAAGAATATGATAGATAGTTAGAAATCCTAAAGACAAAAGAATACTCAATAGAATTGTTAACCAGGTTAGGCAAAAAACCGACGAATTTAATCAGAATTAATTTAAAAAGTTTCATAGTGAGCTGAATCCTCATGCAGATAAAGATTACTCACTATGGAAAGCAACTCGAAGATTTTAAAAACCCATCATAAGAGAAATTAGAAAGCAATTAGAAACAAACAAAATCAATGGGTCAGGCGTAATGAAGAAGAAGCCGAATTATTTGCTCAATAACTTGTATATTTCAACCGAACAGCATGGTATCTACAATCTATACAATTCCAGGCTTTCAAGACAAAATGGACAAGAGGATGATGACTATAATGGAATTATCTCAAGAAATTAATACTTATGTCAACCCGAGAAAAGCTCCTGGAATTGAGGCAATTTTACCAGGCTTGCTACGAGAACTACCACGAAATGCAATCATTATAATAACATGCTTATATAATGCCTATTTGAGATTTAAAGATGTTATGGAATAATTTAAAACAGCTCAGATAATTATGTTTAAAAAATCAGACAAACTAGCAAATCAAGAAGATTCTTAAGAGCTATCTCACTATTGCCAGCTCACATTCAACTGTGACACCAAATACTTATCTAAAATAGTCAATTACTGGAGTCAAATCATTGTAATAAAAAATTTTGGATGTAAAATGAAGAGAGTTTATTTGGTGTATGACAGGATAGCGTTTTGGGATAACTCTACTTAATTTATACTTCAGATACTCCAACAACCAATGTAACAATAATAATCAACACATTTTCAGATGTTCTCGGTCAACAGACAGCTATACAGAAATTACAAGTTGCTATTAACAATGTTTATAAGTGGAACAAAAGATTAGAAAATACAATTTAATAGTTCAAAGTTAGTTCCAGTCAATTTTACGTTACGGCGAGGAAATAACAACCTCGCTATATCTCTTGGGGAACGTCGGTTACTTTAAGCAGACTTAGAAAAATATCTTGAACTCCACCTTAATGGATTTGGCTTAAAAATAGACAAATATACTAGTTAGTCGGAAAACAATAATTCAAACTTGACCTAAGGTAAAAAAGACTGATTTATCGGTCTGTATAAAATCCAAATTTGGACGTATGGAGTACAACTGCGAGATTGAACTGTCAAGAAATAGGCTAATAATTCAAAGAAGTCAAAATTAATTGGTCGGTCCGATTACAAAAGCTTACCGCTGCGTAACTAACGAAGAAATTCGAAAGATTAGACGCAAGAGCACGAGAAAAAATTTCTGTCAAACCAACGTAGAACCTATTGAACTCCTGGATAACTTCTTGTACATATGTGTAAGCAAGTGTATTTTTGATAGTATTATGTATATAAGTTAGGTTAATAATTTTATTTTCGGATTTGTATATTGATGCAATAAATCAACTCAAGCAGAATACGTTCTGCTTATTAGTTTCAAATATCGAAATTTTGTTTATCACTCCGATAAACAATTTAGAAATTAAGTGACGGATTCTTCCGTGGCTTAATAAAAGTTCATTTTATAGAACAATAAAACACTGAAATATTTTGTTTATATCCCTTTCACAAAATTTATTATTTATTATCGTGTTTAGGCAGAGTGCCGTTCTCAAGTGGTGTATTTTTAAAATGCTTTTACACTTTATAGTCTTTAACTGAATAATTTGAGAAGAGAGTAATTTGTGACAAGTTAGTTGATTAGAATTATATCTGTATTTTTTAGTTTATTAATTTCTCTAGCTTTTAATGAAAATAGCCTGAGGGCTTTATTTTGAACAAAGAGCATTTGAAATTGGTTTTTAGAAGAATGATTATGAACTTGAAGGTAAAATGCGTACTTCTTTGGCCAGTCAACACATGTAAGTTCGTACACAATGTTTAAGTGCTTTTTCTTCTGACTCTTATTGGGACGAATAATCCCATCGTACAAACCAGAAATTTGCTGTCTACCATAGCATGTTATAGAGAATAACAGAAATTCTCATGTCAAATGATATCTTCAAAATAGAATTAAATATCAATCAAATAGCAATAAATAATTGGTATAATGAAAAAACAAACAAAATTGTTAAGCAAAGACTGCATAAGAAAG